TTCTCGTTTGCGTGCCTTCTGGCCTTGCCGGCCTGGGATTTCGAGGGAGTTCCTGTCGTCATTGCTTGTATGGTCCCCTCCTTTCGAATCTTCGCCACTTTTCTGCCATCAGTTGTTCGGCCTGACGGCATTCTTCATTTGGCTGGGATCAGTGAGGACTCCGATGCTCTGGTGTTTCTCCATGATGTGCCATGGGCAGCTCCGAGAGATGCAGACATTTTCGTGCGCCCGGGCTGTCTGCTCACCATTTCCCTGCCGGGGCAGGCTGTTCCTCCACCAGTGCCTTTCGAGAGCATGCTGCGACACCCTGATGGATGGCATGAAGATTTGGCCCTTCCGGGGCCGTACGCGGAGGGCATTTGGATACTCACGGACCATGCTCACAGTCGATTTGTTGCGGTTTCTCGACGTCCTCCGCTACGCACGGTTGTTGCCTCTTTCCTGCAAATTCCTCAACCTGTCTTCATGTTCATGCCAGCTGCACCTGCCATAGCTGATCACGGGCACCAAGGTCTGCCATCCAAGCAGGTCTTCCTTGCTGTAAGACACGAGGATAGCAGCCATGTGCCGTATATCCTTGATCTGCGACCAGTGCTACTGACCCTCACTTGGGCGTTTGCGGTTGGCGGCAGAGTCGACGTTGCCGAGGTGTGTGCGCGACAAGCCCGCAGGTGTCCACCAGGTTTCAGCATCCGTTTAACCGGGGGATGCGCGGTTGAAGGCTCAGGAAACCACTTTCGGGGTATCTTCCCTGGACAGGTTCTCACTCTGGAGTTTGTGCCGCGCTGGTTTCGCCCTGACTCCGGTGCCCCTGATGACCCTGACGATGATGACGCTCCCGATCGTGATGATGACCCTGGAGATGGAGATGACGCTGATTTCAATGCAGATGACAACTCGTGGCCCGGGCAGGCTTGGGTTGGGAACGCGGCTTCTTCATCGGGCGGCGGCCGTGCGCCGCAGGCAGGTTATGAGAGCGGTTCTTGGGAGACCTCCTGGAGTGTTCGGGGGGCTTCGCGGATTCGTTCCACACAAGGCCGATCTGCAAATATCTCCATCCTGATAGTTATCCTCCTGCTGTTTGCGGGGGCGGCGGTACGGGGAGATTGCAATGCCGAGCTGGCTACCCCCTGTCGGGACATTGGGCAAGTTGGTCGAGCTGCCAAGTGGGTTGAAGGATACCTAGCACATGCCTTTCATGACGGCACCTTCTTTCTCACCTCTGTCCTCCCAATTATGCTTCTCTGTCTCCCGCTTCTCTTCAATTTGTATGCCCATGGGTCAGTACTGCCGTTGCACCGTTGCCGAGACACATGTCTCCAGCAGTCCACTGGCAACGTTCATCTCTGTGTTCGGGCCTTGCCTTTGCGTTGGTGGGTTGGTATCGGAGTGATATCGGTTACGCTCCTTCGGCCGGTTGCAGGGGTGCAGGTCTTCGACCTCTGTAGCTCAGACGCTGTTCCCGACGGTCCACTTGCTGAGGCTATGACTGGGGGAAGCCTTGCCAGTGACACCGGCCTTGGGTCTCACACTTGTGCTCCTTGGGTCGCCTCGGCGCCGTGTGCTCTCTCTGTGGGGCGGGCAACGCATCGCCCTGTTCCCACCCCATGTCGACAAGGTTTCGGACGGGTGGCCGCGGTTGCCTTGAATCCCGTTGTTGAGGACTGCCATGTCGATGAGCCGCTAGTCACGCTTCTGGAGCAGGCAAGGCAAGCTGATCCCCATGCTGCGTTTGCCGAGACCCGTATCCTTGTTGAGACCCTCTATGAGCACTTTGGAACCCATACCAGCCAGCAACTGGCCTCAACCGCTGCACGGATCCGTGTCCCCATCTCGCTCGATTTTTCCGTGCCAGCCGTGGGGATACCTTCCTACGCGGATGTTGAAACCTTCCGGCTTGACGCAGGCCAGTGCCTCCTTCCTTGCTCCGAAGCCATGTATCGAGAGCTCCTACAGTCTGTTTCCTTTTGCCGCTTGGTTCGGCCATATGGGGATCTGCCGGAGCCTGAGCGTTTTGCGGAATGGATTGGAGCTGGCTCTTTTGGACGCTCGCCGGGGCCCCATGAGACCGTTGTGCTCACTGCAGATGGCTCGTTTTCGGCTCAGTCTGGCAGAGCTGGATGTGCAGTTGTTGTCAGTCTCGCCAGCCCGGAGGTTTTTCCGGGTCAGTTTGTTGGCTGTGTCTTCGCTGCCCTTCGCCTGACCGAGCTTGATCTGGATGCAGGCCTTGCGGTGCATGCTTACATTGCCGAATCGTTCGGGCTGCTCTGGGCGTCTATCCTGGCCTTTCGCTTCCCCTTTTTTGGGCCCCTTGTCTTCCGTTGCGACAACCAGGCTGCCCTCCGTGGCGTAGAGGGCTCTAACCGTATGCTGCCGGGCCCCATTTGTGAATGTGCGCGCAACTTCCACCTTGCCCTCTCCAGTAGCGGCCGCCGACCCTCCTATCAGCATGTGGCGGGCCACTCAGGCGACTTTGCTAATGAATTGGCCGACGGGCTGGCAGTTATCGCTGCCTCTGGACGCACTGACGTTGGGGGTTTTGGCTTGGATCTCAGGCCTTGGCTAAGAGACAATGCCCTTGCCGCTAAGTGGCTGCCGCACAAATGTCTCACCGTTGCCCGACCGGATCATCTTCCAGCTTGCCGGTCCGAAGTTATGACGTGGGAACTTAGCGAGCCTACCTCCTCCCTTCCACCTGAGGCCCTAATGCGCCCTTTCCTTCGTCCAATGTCACAGGGCTCTGAAGGCTCGGACGCACTTGGCCTTTTCCGCTGGACTTGCGTATCGTACAATGCCCTGTCTCTGCTTCCGGGCGAGATTGCCACGGAGGCGTACCTTGAAGGGCGAGGTCCGGGATTATATGGTTCCACGGGACGGGTTGCACTTCTTGGTCAAACTCTGCTTGATAGAGGGGTGCTTTTGGCAGGCATTCAGGAGGCTAGGACGCCACAAGGCACCTGCAATGGTGCTGCATACACAAGGTATTGCTCCGGTGCAAATGCTCGCAACTGCTACGGGGTCGAGTTGTGGGTCGCATCTGGGCCAGGTTGGCCTAGACACAAGGCCACCATCCTTCATGCTGACCTCTGCCGTCTTATTGCTCGCGTTGAGATTGCCTCTACCGCGCTGACTGTTCTAGTCGGTCATGCTCCTCATAGGGCCCATGCGGAGGACGTTCGGAAGGAATGGTGGCGCAAAACTACGCTGTTGTGTGAACAGGTCGCTAACCCTGGCCCATGGATTCTCCTGCTTGATGCCAATTGTAGACTCGGATCGGTTGTCTCGGACCTTGTTGACTCGCATCAATCAGATGTTGAGGACGCGTCGGGCGCGTGTTTGCACGACCTCCTGCACACCGTTCAGGCCTGGTTACCCTCAACTTTTGAGTGCTGCATGAGGGGGCCAGGTGGGACACTTCTGCAACGCATTTCCGGGGAGCTTCAACGCTGTGATTTTGTCGCCATTCCCTGCTGTTGGGCCGGCTCGGAGACTCAGGCCTGGATTGATCCCGGTATCACAGCGGGCCACGCCACGGCTGATCACTTTGCAGCCGTGGTTTGTTGTATCGTCAGACAAGGCAACTCCAAACGTGGTAAGCAACGGCGCATTGACCCGGCGGCGTTGCTTGCTCCGGCCAATAGGGGGAAGATCGAGGAGATACTCAGTCGAGTCCCGGATCTTCCATGGTCCCTGAACATTAATGATCACGCAGCGCTTCTCTCTGAGTTTCTTTTCTCTGAACTAGTTGGCGCCTTCCCTCTCGCCGCGAAGCGCATGCGTGGCTCTTATTTCTCTCCAGAAACAGGGGCGGTTCATGCCCAGATCGCCCGTTTACGGCATGCACTTAGGGACCGAGTTGCGGCGCAGAAGTTGGCTTTTCCGCGGTGTGCCTTCGACACTTGGCGCCAGCCGGGGCCGCAATTCCACGATCGCATTGCGGGTCGCTGGTCGTCGACCTTACAGACTGTCATTGCACTATTAGGCCGTCAGATCGGGCTATTGGGCAAAGATCTCCGCCGGCGCTGCAGGCTGGATAAGCGAGGCTACCTGGAAGGTCTAGCCCAAGAAGTGGATACGGCCAAGCCTGGAGATATGCAGCTCGCGCTGAAGCGTCTGTTGCGGCCACGCAAATTCAGGCGTGGAGGTCCCCTACCACTTCCGTTCCTTAAGCGTCCAGATGGGACGGTGTGTCAGACCTTTGGCCAGGTGCAGGAGGAATGGCGCAGACATTTCGCTGACCTCGAAGGTGGCATCTGCGTTGAGGCTGGCGCACTTGCGGCGCAATGCTTGCAGCGACAGGCGACGACTCCTGCTCGTGAGAGCCTGAGTTGCCACGCTATCCCTAGCCTTGGCGCCCTGCGTGACGCATTCAGCGGTGTTAGTGCCTTGAAAGCCACAGGGCCCGACGGACTGCCGCCTGCACTTTGCGCCCGGTTTGCTACATCCCTTGCAACGCTTTTCTGGCCAGTGCTCCTTAAGTCCCTTTGCTATGGCTCCGAGCCGGTTGGCTATAAAGGGGGTACGTTGTTTCACATCCCTAAGCCTGGAGCCAAGGATAGAGGGTTATGCTGTGCAGAGCGGGGGATTTTGGTCCAGAGCTCGCTTGAGAAGGTTCTTCACAAGGTTCTCCGACCTGTTGCAATTGCCGGGCTGGATCGGCGTGCCCTTCCACTTCAGATAGGCGGCAGGTCGGGCCTGAGCCACAGTATCGGGTTCTATTGCACCAGGCTTTTTCTTGATTATGCGCAGCAACAGAATCTTTCTGCTGGCATTTTGTTCTGCGACCTTGCCGCGGCATATTATGCCATTGTTCGGGAGACTCTGCTCGGACATGGGTCAGGGTGCAGCTCCATACAGGACATTGCGGGCTCGCTCGGCCTGACTGACGCGGACATGCAGGCCCTTCAGCACTACTCGTCTTGTGATCCAGTTCTCACGGGAGACGGTGGAGATGCTTTGCTGCACTCGCTCGCACAGGAGTTTCATGCCGACTCCTGGTTCCTGCTACAACAGGATTGCCGCGTGGTGCATACGCGACGTGGAACTAGGCCGGGTTCTAGTTGGGCCGACGTGATGTTTAGCCTTTTGTTTGCTAGAGTTCTGGAGCGACGGGGCACCTTTGTGGAACAGGGCTTCCAGCCTGTCATCCCTTGGTCGGGACGCCGATGCCCGACAGCTTTTGATGCAAGGAGGGCTGGTCAGCAGACTGAGACTGTTCAGGATGTTGTGTACGCAGACGACCTTGCCACATGCATTGTTGCCCCCTCGGCGAAGGCTCTGCCGCAAGCTGCCAGGCATGTTGCCGGGGTGTCATTTGACACCCTTCTTAATCATGGATTGCGCCCTAATGTTGGACCCAAGAAAACCACCGTGATGCTGGCGCCCCGGGGTCCTGGGGCTAAAGATGCAAGGGAGGCGGTTTTTACTCGTGCGAAAGGTCGACTTCCGGTCCTGTGCGAAAACATTGACACTGTAACCCTCGACGTGGTGCCACATTACCGGCACCTTGGGTCGGTGTTGGCGTTCAACGGCTCGCTGCTTCCGGAGGCGCGGGCCCGTGTTCAACACGCCAAACAGCTCTTCAAAGAGGGACGCGCCAATGTGTTCTGCACTCCGCACATTGCTCTCAGCAAACGCATTCTGCTTTTCAGGTCTCATGTGTTGTCCGCCATGCTATCTGGGTGTGGGGCCTGGCCGAGCTTGTGCAAATCTAGCTGGAAGGTCCTTGACACTTGCTACTTCAATTTGCTCCGTGCGATGCTGCGGATCCCACACGGGGCAGAACAGAACTGGACGAAAGAGCGAGTGCTTTCGGAAGTCGGGCTCCCCGACCTTTTTGGTCTTGTCTCGGCAGACAGACTGAGGTTTCTGGGGCAGTTGACCAGGAGCGGCCCCAACGCCGCATTTGCGCTTATGCAGCACTCACCGCGTGCTCTCGAAGCTTTCCGCTCGGCTGCTTGTTGGTTTGCAGAGGCTTGTGCGTCCACCACACGCCTCAGGGGTCTTGACGAGACTTGGTCTGAGTGGGTTGGCGTTTTCATGACGCCTCGTCGCTTCCGGGGCCTCATTAAACGTGCCACGGCATGGCATGTCGGGGCACTGGAGTCAGTCGCGGCCTTCCAGCGTTTTTGCCGCCGACATTGGCTGCCGGCCCCAGCCCCGCTCCTGCCCGTCGAGGTCGCTTCCCACGCTTGCTTGCTCTGCTCGATTGCCTTCTTCGATTTCCACTCATGGTCGGCGCACGCTGCTCGTTCGCATGGCTACAGGTCCCGTTCCAGACGTTTCGCCCAGGGTCTTACTTGCCGGGCTTGTGGTACCAAATTTGCAACACTCCGACGTCACCAGAGACATCTAATTGATTCTGTCCGTTGTTGCCAGGCAGTTGAGCAAGGCCTTAGCACGTTGCTTCCTGTTGATGACTCGGCACCAGGTCACATTCAGAGTGTCTCCTCCGGAGGGGGCGACTTTACACATGTACCCGTTGCCGGACCTGATGTCTCGGCTGAGCTTTTGCGTGAGTTGCGGGGAGGCACTTTTGCATCCGACTCGGACATCTTTGAGTGCATGAAGCGCATTGTCGAGCCTTTTCATATTCTGCGCAATACGCTGCACGCTTGGATTTCTGAGCTTGAACCAGGTCAGGTGGCTGAATGGGCGTCTGATGTGTTGCTCTGCTTGCAGGTTGATTTACTGTGTGAATCAGCTTCCAGAGTTAGGCGGGACCCTGCACAAACGGAGGACTTCGTCCCATTGCTACGGGGCTTTGTGGTGGCCCTGCAGTGGGAGGCATTCCCTTTCCTGACTGATCGTGCAGACTGGCTACTGGACTTCGGCCACATGTCTGGGATTAGACCGGCAGCCTCTTCGATTCATTTTTGGCAGGGACCCCCTCAGGACAGTGGATTTGCTGGAGTCTGCATCAGCGTACCTGAGCCTGCCGTGCCGGTTTCGCTCGCGTGGTCTTCGGCTTCATCCTCACTCCGTGCACAGCGCCGACAGGCGAGGTGGCTCCACCTCCTCCTTGCATGGCTTGGATTTGCCATCACGCTCGCTGATCTCGGCCGACCCTGTCTCGTCAAGGTCTCTGGACATAGAGGTTTGCTAGGGCCGCTCGCCGACTGGCTTAATACGAGCCTATCGCCGCATGGGCGCTCGGCACTCCTTTTGCGTTTCACCCTTTGAATTCG